AATTACAATTTATATACTTTTTAACCTCAAACGCTCGTCTTGTCTAGCTCTGTGTGAACTGTTTTTTCACTTTCAAGACAGTTAGGGTATGTCTAAAAACTCCCATCTCATTTTCTCCTCCAACTTAAAAATCATCCTACATCGCTGCAGAAGTACCGACCCAGTGTTTACAAAGTGAACATGCAAAGAAGATCAAATGCCATTTACAAAAAAAGAGTTTTTAGACCTACCCTAACTGTCTTGAAATGGAAAAAACAGAGTTCACGCAAAGCTAGACAAGATGAGCGTTTGAGGTTAAAAAGTATATAAATTGTATTTTCTTTTAGAAAATAACCAATTGTTTTGCTAGATAAGACCCTTCTTCCTCGGCTGGGATGGTTTAGAGCCGTTTGAAGCTGCATTTTTAAACTGCATTTTGGAAGTTCAAACTCGCGGTCACCATAGAAGTCCATTATATGGAGAGAAATCCTGAAATGTTTTGCTCAAAAAACATAATTTCTTTTACGACTGAAGAAAGAAAGACTTGGATGACAAGGAGGTGAGTACATTATCTGTAAATATTTGTTCTGGAACTGAACTACTCCTTTAACACTAGAACCGCCAGGGGTCGCTGTATACCTAAAACCGCCATGCACATGACTACTGTTTTGATATAGCTAAATAACATATTATTTCACTGTATTTATTTATTTATTGCCAAACACCCTAGTTGTTTGGAATTTGCTTGGGGAGCTCATCAACAATTATAACATACATTAAAATACATATATAAATACAACTACACATATATGTCCTATCAATTATAAGGAGTGAAATGCAGATGCATAGATACCAGAGAAATTAAGAGCATGCACAATCCTATCCTGATGCAAAATCCGTGTAGACTTCGTTTTAATTGCTGAAGGAAGAGGCGTAAGTTTTTCTGCAAACGTGAAACATAGATCTCATCAATAGTGGGGAGATCACAACCGATAATTTTCGAAGCAGCCCGAGTTATGTTACTAATCTGACTTCTCTGCTGAGCTGTGGAGCTACCAAACCACACTATAAGTGAGAAAGTCAGCACGCTTTCAATGACAGCTCTATAAAAATTTAACATACCAACTTTAGATACGCCAAACTTCAAACCTTTGATGGCATTTTTTAATAATGCCTCTTAGGTTGTCGTCCCACTTTAACGTTGCAGAGATGGTAGTCCTGAGACTTAAAACATTGAACATTTCCTGACCATTAATAGTCAATGGCAAAACAGCATTTGTCCTCCGTCGGAAATCAAACACCATTTGCTTTGTTTTTAGGACATTCAACTTGATTTGTCCTCAGATGTCCTTAAACTGATGTGGAGATGGCTGAAAAACGTCCATAATATGCTGTAAATTGATTGAACAATATCCCAGGCAAGTGTCTGTTTTTATAGGGAACTGGGAGGATCTGGTGAAGTTTCTTCAAATGGCGAGGAAGAAAGCCAGAGAGTCGTTTGTGGAGACGGAGCTCATCTTTGCTCTGGCTAAAACAAATCGTCTGTCTGAGCTGGAGGACTTTATCAACGGCCCCAACAATGCTCACATACAGCAAGTATGGAGATTTACACACTTTTGATGTTAGCTAGCTTCCTTTATCTGATAAATCTCTCTCTGTATCATTTTTAAAAAGTTTTATTTCAGTATTATTGAGATACTATTATAGTTGTTGTTTTTTTTATTATTAATTTTGGATTAGTTTTTATTGTTATATTTTCCATTTTCTTTTTAATTTAAGTTAAAATTTTAGCAATTTTGTTTTGGTCTTTTTTAATATGTCAATATAGTTTTTTTTATCAATTGAGTACATCAGATTTAACTTAGTAAAAATTAGGAATGTTGCCTTGGCAACTAGCTGAAATAATATAATAATGAAAGTAAGTTTAAGTTTTTTATATTTTATTTCATTTAATGCTTACTATATTTCAAGTAACAAAAATTTCAAGATTTTATGGTTTAAGTTTTCGTTTTGTTTAACTGTAATACCTTATAAACCTGTAATACCTTATAAACAATAACTTAAACAACTCTCGCACTCTTTTTGCTTCTGTTGAGAGACTGACAAACCCCCCAAGTCAGATTCCCAGTGAAATGCTCTCCGACAGCAAATGCAATGAGTTTGCGTCCTTCTTTTCTGAGAAGATCAATAATATCAGAAAGGCGATTAGCACATCCCCAAGTTATGCAGAGGTCAGACAGATTCGACCGCAATATCAAAAAGAAGATACTATGTCTGGTTTTGAAGCAATTGATAGCAACATTTGGAAGAAATTGTATTAAATCCAGACTCAAAACTCATCTGTTTAGCTGTGCATTTATTGAATGAGCACTGTGCTACGTCCAAACTGATTGCACTTTATTTTATGTATAATCTTTTTCTATTTTTAACTGTTTTAAATTCCTTTTAAATCAATTTTTAAATCATTTAAAAAGGTTTTAAATTCCTTGTTTTATTGTTGTGATTATTTTTATGATTATTTTACTTCCTTTTATGTAAAGCACTTTAAATTACCATTGTGTACGAAATGTGCTATATAAATAAACTTGCCTTGCCTTGCCTTAATAACCTTGTAAATATACAATTATATTGTTATTAATATATAATACGTTGTTATTAAATATACGTATATAAATATATTATATACTATTATATAATATATTATTATATATACAATTATATACTTGTATTATTATTAAATATAAAATATTTTATATATAGTATAGATATAGTTTGGTATATATGTACGAATAGTAATAGATAAGAGAAGATAATAGAAATATAACATATTTCATGTAATGAAGTTATTAATAATAATGATAGCAACAACAATATATTATGCATATATATTTAATATTAATGATAGCATGTTTATATTTAAAAATGAATATATTTTAAATTATTAAAATAATCGGATTTGAAACATTTTCCCTAATGCTTAATAAATAATCCATAATAAATAGTTTTTTAAGATTAATTTATAATCTTGTTACTCAACATTATTGTGCATACATAATGACAGTAGCAGAACGTGTGCTTTGAGATCTATCACTTGAGATCACCGGGGTCTTCTTGTATTATTTTCAGTGTGTCCTGTAACATGTTTCTGTCTGTAGGTTGGCGAGAGATGTTATGAAGAGGGTATGTTTGAAGCCGCCCGGCTGCTGTTTAATAACGTGTCTAATTTCGCTCGTCTGGCGTCCACACTCGTTCACCTCGGCGAGTTTCAGGCGGCCGTTGACAGCGCACGAAAGGCCAGCTGCACACGCACATGGAAAGAGGTGAGAGATGAAGACGTTATTAAATACATCTCGTTAAACTAGGGCTGATTGAAATGTTTTAAACAAATTAATTACCTAAAGTAGAGGTGGGCGATATGGCAAAAATATCATATCACGATTTTTTTTTTTTTTCTTTTCTTTTCAGGAATATCACGGTTTTATCACGATTCTTTGTCATGTGTGTTTTACTATTTTGTCTGAGCCGTACAGCCAAACTAATTTCCCTATTTTAAAAGCAAAGCCTTACAAGGAAACAAAATATAAAGTAAAAAAAGAATTGCAGATATTTAGGCCAATGTGGGCGAAGATAAAAAACTTATTTTATCTTTGTTGTTAAAAAACAGTTAAAACAAACAGTGCTTTATTTTTCTGATACAGCAAGTGTATTTAGCAGGAGCATTCAAGATTGAATCAACAAAACAAAAATAAAACACTATATTCACTTCACTGTATAAATTATACATAGATTCTTAATAAAGCAACTGTATTAATTTTCTTCAGTCAAGAGCAGCGAGTGATTTTTCTTTTCTGTCATCTGTCTGTCAATTCTGTCATAATGTTTTATTTTATACCATAATTTACTCAATCTCAAGTTGTTTTTAACCTGACTGAGCTTCTACTTCCAACAAATCATATATCATTTTGAAGGAATTTTAATTGAGAATGTGAAACTAAAAAGAACTCATTTTTGAAAATTTGCTCATTCCGACTCATTTTGTCAGAACCGGTCACATATACAGTAACTGCATTTTATTGCACCATATGAACATGTTAAATTGACAGCCCTACTTTAAACATTAAAGTCATGTGTCATGCACAACTGGTTTGTAGCATCCTGTAATGTGTGTGTCCTCACTGAAATCTCAATCCTGCTGTATTTTTAGGTGTGTTTTGCGTGTGTGGACGGAGAGGAGTTCAGGTTAGCGCAGATCTCCGGCCTTCACATCGTCACTCATGCTGATGAACTGGAGGAGCTCATTAACTACTATCAGGTGAACAACCCTCACAATCTCAGTCTGTGGATGAGCTCAGTGCGGGTTTGTGACGTCTTCTCTGTGTGCGTCAGGACCGTGGGTATTTCGAGGAGCTGATGGTGCTGCTGGAGGCGGCGTTGGGGCTGGAGCGCGCTCACATGGGCATGTTCACCGAGCTGGCCATCCTCTACTCCAAATACAAACCCCAGAGGATGAGGGAACATCTGGAGCTCTTCTGGTCTCGGGTCAACATCCCTAAGGTGCGACTCTCGCTGATGTGTTCCTCAGAGTGTGAACTGAAGAAATAAAAATTTTATTTTCTGCATTCTGAAAGCTGCATCCTGGAGCTCGTATAGAAGAGCGTGACGCTTGCAACGTGAAGGTCATAGGTTCGATTCCCAGGGAATGCATGAACTGATTAGATGTAGACGGTGAATGCATTGTAAGACACTCTGGATAAAAGGCATCTGTGAAATGCATTTAAATGTAAATGAGTAACTAAGTAAATGAATAAAAAAATTACTAAATAAGTAAATAAATAAAGTGAGTTATCTGCACTGTAAGGACAGTTGTACTGAGGAAATTTCCTGTTTCTTTTGTTTTTGTATCTTTTTTATGTTGCACAAGGGTCACATTTCAATGTTACATTTTGGTTTGATTATTTATCATATCTACACTACTGTTCAAAAGTTTGGGTTCGGGAAGATTGTTTAAATGTTTTAAAAAGTGTCTCTATCTTGCTCAACAAGGCTGCATTTATTATATTAAAAATACAGTAAAAACAGGTCAATCGTGAAATATTTTTACAGTTTCAAACAGCTGTTTTCTATGTGAATATCTATTAAACTGTAATTTATTTCTGTGATGCGCAGCTGAATTTTCAGCATCATTACTCCAGTCTTCAGTGTCACATGATCTTCAGAAATCATTCTAATATGCTGATTTGCTGCTCAAGAAACGTTTCTAAGTATTATCAATGTTGAAAACAGTTTCATTTTTTTGTGAAACCTGTGATACATTTTATTTTTCAGGATTCTTTGATGAACGTAAAGGCATTTATTTGAAATAGAAATCTTTTGTACATTATAAATGTCTTTACTGTCACTTTTCAACAATTGAATTCATACTTAATGAATAAAAAAGTATTAATTTCTAAATACAATTAAATAAAAAAAATCATATTGATCTTAACACTTTTCGAATGGTAGTGTAATTAGCTATATAATTTGGACTTTTCTCTTGTTAATATTAATAATGATATGCATGCACTGCAGTAAAGGCTTTGTTGGAAAGGTTGTGTTTATGATTTGCTGTGTTGTGATTGGTCAGGTGTTACGAGCGGCTGAACAGGCCCATCTGTGGGCGGAGCTTGTGTTCCTGTATGATAAATATGAGGAGTATGACAACGCCATCCTGACGATGATAACACACCCCACCGACGCCTGGAGAGACGCTTCCTTCAAAGAGCTCATCAGCAAGGTCACATGACACTGATCACATGTCTCAAAAGTTTCTCCAGTAGCTGTCCTGCAGCGAGAGTCTAGAGCTCTGAAATGATTGTGGAGCAGCTCAGATCCTCTGATGAGAAATGATTGAGTTTGAAGCATGCAGACTTTGATATCTGAGCATATATGAGGATGTATATTGTTCTTGTTTTCGTTCGTCTCATTAAGGTGGCAAATGTGGAGCTGTATTATAAATCCGTATTATTTATATATTAAAGATTGTTAATTAGCTTTTATTTTATATTTTTTGTTTTCTTTTTTTTTTTTAGTTTGTTTTAGTCATTTTGTTAGGTTTTTGTTTTTATATTTCCATTTAGCTTTAATTTATTTTTATTTTAGCTTGAGGTATTTTATTACTGTACTTCATTTTAAATTTATTTTATTTCAGTTAGTTCCCTAGGCAACATTTCTACTTTCATGTAAGTATTTTTTATTTTATTTTATTTTTTTATTTTATTTATTTTTTCTCTGTGATGCAGCTTTATTTAGTATAATTTATATATTATAGTGTACAAGATTTTATTATTAGCGTTTAGTTTTAATTATTAGTTCAAAATTATTTTAAAATTAGTTTTATTTTTAATTTGTAGTTATTTTATGTGCTTTTGTCATTTTTATTATTTGTTGTGTTTTTATATTTCTACTTAGCTTTAATTTATTTTAATTTTAGTAATTTTATTACTTCAGTTTAAATTTATTTTATTTCAATTAGATGCCAAGACAGCATTTCTTTTAATGTGAGTTTAAGCTTTTCATCTAATTTTTTATTTTTTTTATTTCATTTTATTTCATTTTTTTTCTCTGTGATGCATTATTATTTTAGTATTATTTAAATATTATAGTGTATAAGATTTTTAATTAGCTTTTAGTTTTATATTTGTAGTTTTCTATTTTTTTGTTTTTTGTCATTTTGTTATGTGCTTTTGTGCTTGTTTTTATTAGTTTTTATATTTCTATTTAGGTTTAATGTATTTTATTTTAGTTTTAGTAATTTTATTACTTCAATTTACATTTATTTTATTTCAGTTAGTAGCCAAGGCAATTTTTATTTTATTTTATTTTATTTTATTTTATTTTATTCAGTTAACAGAACTGATTTGTATTAGTTTTAGTTTATTTAATAATGAGGGTCGTGTGTGTTTGCAGGTGAATCAGTTGCGTCTGGTTAAACCGTATCTCAGATCAGTGCAGAGCCACAATAACAGAGACGTGAATGACGCGCTCAACAACACACACGCTCACACACACACACACACACACACACACACACACTCACACGCACACTCACACACACACACACACACACACACAGAGCTTCAGTGAGAGTAAGATCACGTGATCTGAAGTGTCTCTCTTCATCGTCCCGCTCAGGGTCTGCGCGCCTCCATCGATGCATACGATAACTTCGACTCGATCGGTTTGGCTCAGAGGCTCGAGACACACGAGCTCATCGAGTTCAGACGCATCGCTGCGTATCTCTACAAGAGCAGCCAGCGCTGGGCTCAGAGCATCCAGCTCTGCAAGAAAGACAAACTCTACAAGGTACAAACACAGAGACGCATCACTGCCAACCTGTTGATGTTTGTTCCTATATATATTTGTATAGTTGTATTTATTTATTTTTACACATTTATATTTTTTTAATTATACATATTTATTTATTTGTAATAGAGCATATTAACGCTGCAAGACTAATAGTTTTTATTATTTATTTTAGTATTTTTAATTGTTTATTTGCTTTAGTATTTTGTGCTTTATTAAATGATTGATTTTTTTAATTAATAATTTTCATTAATAAAAAAATAGAAAATGAATAATTTAATTAATAAAAAAAATACATATTAAACCTTCTTTTTACTGGGTATATAGAGGAATGATTCACCCAGAAATGAAAATTCTGTCTTTTTAAAACTTTTTTTTTTTTAATTAATTCTGATTTTCAGTAAAAAATATCAAATTAATTTACTGACTATTTTCCACACTTTTTTGCTACTGTGTCTGTAAGAATAATTCACACAAAAATGAAAATTCTGTCTTCATTAATTAATTTATTTTTAAAAAATGAGCATTTATTGTTTGTTTGTTTGTTTTAAAGTGAATTTTCATCAAAAAATTTGCAGATAATTTAGTGACTGTTTTCAATTAATATAATGTTTTCAATGAATACAATTCTTTCTTTAATTAATAGATGTTTTAAAATATATTTTTATTAAAAATGTGCATTTACTATTTTTTTATTTATTCCTTAATAATTATTTTTTATAAAAAATTTGAAGCAAATTTAGTGACTATTTATTTTTTCCCCTTAATTTCTTAATGAATTTTCATTAAAAATGTGCAAGTATATTTAGTGACTATTTTCCACCCTTTTTTTTTTTTTTTTCCCTCATGTTGTTTCAAAACTCTGGCATTATTTCTTTCTTTTGTACTTCCTGCCAAACAAAAAGAAAAGCAGAGCAGAGCAGTATCAGGCTAAAGGCACTCATTCTCCCGTCTGTCTCTGTGTCAGGACGCGATGCAGTTCTCCGCCGAGTCTCAGGACGGCGCTCAGGCTCAGGATCTCCTGCGCTGGTTTGTTGAGGAGGGGAAGCGTGAGTGTTTCGCCGCGTGTCTCTTCAGCTCCTATGATCTTCTGGCTCCTGACCTGGTCTTAGAGCTGGCCTGGAGACACGGCCTCGTGGACTTCGCCATGCCGTACTTCATTCAGGTGACGAGGGAGTACCTGAGCAAGGTGCGTATGAAAGCATCTCAAGCAAGTGCTGATCATCAAAAAGTCCACTTTTTACACATTACTCACGGTTTCTTGCAACAAATGACCTTTTTCCTTCACCTTTCAGGCTCTTAGTATAAATGTTGCTATTAGATGTATTTGATTTTTAGATAAACACTTACTCCATATACAGGAACAAATAATAATTCACATAAATAATTGAAATATAATAAATTATAATAAAAAAAAATTTCCACCTTGTTTATAAACAAGTGATTTACCTAGAAATGAAAATTCTGTCATTATTAAAAATAACATTTTATTTTATTTATGTAAAATTATTTTTTTATTTTATTTTATTAATTTAATTAAATTTTTTATTCTATTCTATATTTTTATTTGGCATTTTATTAATGTTTAAAGGAATGATTCACACAGAAATTAAATTTTTTAAATGTGCAATCAATTTAGTGACTATTTATTTATATATTTATTTATTTATACAAAAAATCAGTTGATTTAGTGACTATTTTACAGCCTCTTTTTGCTTCAGTATCTTTAAAGGAATAATTCACCAAAAAAATGAAATAAAATCTACATATATTAATAAATTTTTTTCATTGAAACTGTGAACATCTGGCAGATTCTCCTCTTATACGAAGTGAAATAATAGTGTCTTTTTCTTGTGTTGTTTAGGAGTAATAAGTAGACCATATTAATAATGTGTTAATGAATTTGTTACCGCAAAGAAAAAAAAAAACTGAAATCAGATTTTGGTAACACTTGTTAACATTAGTAAACTACATTAGAAGTAACGATGAAAAATACCTATTATACTAAGCATTTATTAATCTTAGTTAATGCTAATTTCAACATTTACTAATACATTATAGTTGTATCTGTTAATATTATTTAATAGACTTTTATTTAATAGAGTTAACATGAACTAACAGTTGTATTTTTATTAACTATATTTTTAAGAATGATTGTTTTGGACAATCTGTTTATAACAACTAGAGTGTTTTCTAGTTTATTAGTTGTAATTAGTTTAGATTTATCTGTTCAGGTTTAATTCAGTCACCCTGAATGAGATTCATAATGTATTAGTGCCTGATAAATATTGTTCTGATTGCATAAATGAAATGAGATCATCTGATAGAGTAGATATAATAGCTGTAGTGTAGTGAACTCATTTTTGAGAGTAAGTCTGAGCTCTGTAAATGGTCCAGAATGCTAAAGCTGATCTGAGTCTGGTCCTCTACAGGTGGATGAGTTATCCCGACAGCTGAAGGTCTGTCTGTGTCTGTATTAGACATTAGCGCATGTAGCGTACAGATTCATAACCGGTTTCTGAATCGTTTGCTTGATTACCCACAGTGCACTGCTCTGTAGCTGTATTAAGCCTGTTTGTTTGCTTGTGTGAGAGCGTCTTTGAGAACATAAAAGGAAACTAATTATTATTATTATAAGGAGAATTATTGAGATGTGAAGTGGTTCGCTGGAGTCGAGCGTCAGTCCTCATATGAACCGAAATCATTTATGACTGCCTTCTCAAACTAAATTAGTATTCTTTAATATTGGTCCTGTAAGTCCTGCAGGTGTCAGATGCTCATTACACATGCAGTACATCAGTCTGACCTGCAGAGGGCAGCAAAAACACTTACCTTAAACGTAAGACGCATAACATGAAATATACTGTATATATACTGTATATATATACATATACTGTATATATATATATATATAAAACATACGGTTATATTAAAGATACATTAATAATTTTTTGTTTCAAGCAAATATAACTTGATAGTTATTTTATATTTTATTCAACATAAAATGTATACATTTAACTATATACTAAGAATATTTACTATATTATATTATAGAATATTAAAATTTTTGTTCATAATTTGTTTTATTATTTATACATATACAGTGCCTTGTGAAAGTATTCATACCCCTTCATTTATTTCATGTTTTGTTATGTTGCTGAATGCTCAATGCACCAAATTATTGAGATAGCCTTAATGAAAACCCAGTCCAGAGCATTCAGTACCTCAGACTGGGCAGAAGGTTCACCTTCCAACAGGACAATGACCCTAAACACAGCAAGAGTGGCTTATAGACAACTCTGTGAATGTCCTTGAGTGGCCCAGCCAAAGTCTGGGATTGAACCCAATCAAATATTTCTGG